AAGGTTTAGTCACAGCTACTGATGCATCACCGATGCTGGGAAAGTTTCTGTCTGCATTTCATATCTTTAGTCAATTTACCAACATAAGTGACCAAGATAGAATTTCTCCTTGCGATATCATTATAATATCAAGCAGACAAGCGGCGAGAATAAAGAAACATATAAAGAAGGAGATTATCAGTTGATCCAATACCAAATTCTCAGAACTAACATCATAAGAATTGTATAGCAGACAGTAAGGAGAATTTCTAACGAGCATCCGAGCCTGAAAGGGTTAGTACACTCGAGCTCTTTTTAATACTCTGCTTCTACGTTTTATAAACAATAGCTTCCATTTGGCGCGAAAATATGCACAGATATTCCTGTCCGCGGAAATGATCTGTTCCGAGATGCAAACAGTTTTCCGAGAGCGAAGCTCACGGAAAATCTTGAGCTCCGAGGAACAGAAAATGTCCATGGACAAATATACTGGCGTATTTTCGCGCTAAATAGAAGCTATTGTGTTAATTATTCTTCAAACATTTTTCAACAGGAAAATTGTTTAGGTACACCTCAGTACCGTTACCGTGGGATCTTAGCTTTTCAGTGTTCTTTGATACGATTTAAAGAACGCAGAAACGTTTTCCTTTCTGTAACAACTACACAACGTTTGGAATTAAAATTTAACCGCAAAGTTTTCCGTATATCGCAAGTCTAAAATCTTGCTAAGGATTCAAGCGAAGCGCAGTCCTCGCTGGAAAAAACTTTAAAATCTATATAGAGTGCTTTGATGTGGTACTTCTCTTATGAATCATGTTTTTAGTATTACTTAAATGGGTTTGACTAAATATAATAATTAAAACTTTCAAGAGAGGTGTGTTAAAAATGAATCCAATATCTAACGGTCAATTTTTGTCTAATTATTATCTCTGGGTTGGTTGTATTTGTTTTAATCTCTTTCGACTTTGCACCAAGATACAGCAACTCTTTAAAACCAATTATGTGAATGCTGTCCGGTTGCTTTCTAATATAATAATATAATATAATAAAATACGTTAATTGAGGCTCCTCCATAGGGGCTTTTCAGCCCCAATGTAGTTTTAACTAAGTGCTTAAAAATCCCCACTGGCAGGAGGTGACCTGTGAGCTATTTACAGAGCGCAGCCGAGGAGTTGAACTAGGGGCAACTGAGAACAAATCCAGTGAGTGGCAGGGTGGAGGACTTGAACCTGGGCCACCGGATTTCAAGTCCAGCACCCCAACCACCTGGCCACGCCACCTCCAACTTGAAATTCGGAGTTTAACTTCCATGAGTGACCAAGACAGAATTTACCCTTACAGTATCAATACAAAACCAAGCAGAAAAGTAATTAGAATAGTAAAAAATATCAATTCGGGGATAATTAGTTGATGAAATACCAAATTCTCCAAACTCACATCATAAGAATTGTATGGTAGACAGTAAAGAGAATTACTTATGAGATCTGGGAATGAAGGGTTATGCCTCCCCAAGGGTGCTTATGTTGGTAAACCTGTGGGTATGTGGGCAAACCTGTGGGTAAAGACCTCCTTCACAAGGTATGGATGGCTCTAATTGCTATCAGGATTTGACATACATGTAACTTAAATGTAAACTAAATTACATGTATACTTACTTCGTAGAAACAGAAGGTCTTCACTCAACATTGAGGCAAATAAGGTTTGTTTATATTCATGATATAGAAGGATGATAGTTGATGTCCATACCTCTCAGATAGAGGTGGCAGCATCATTCAACCTTTGCACACGCAAGAATTCTTAACTCCCCATTACAACCCCAATGCACTGTCATGCAGTCAAGAAGATTATGGCAATGGACCAGAAAAGATTTATGAGGCAGTACTGTAAAAAAAAGGTGATAACCATCCTGGGACCATTGCAATTTTAGAAAAAAAAGTATAAGTTAAGGTTTGTAATTTACAGTTTGTAATTGATTAGTTGGTAAGAAAAGAAGCCGTGCACACCGAAGGTGTGGGGGGGTGGAGAGGGGGGATTGGTAAAGATTTTGTTGAATTGAAAACTCAAAAAACATCGTCAGATTGTCTAGACGTCAGGCTTGGTTTTTTTTTTGTATATTTGTTACAAAATAAAAGTTTATATCTGCCAATTAAAAAACGAGGAGCAAGGAATAGGTGAATATGTTCATGAGAATGAAATTAGGTGAAGCGGAAAATGAAATAAATTCAATTAATATTGTGTAATTAAGGCCTTTTGAAATTCAAAAGTTTGGCTGCGAAAAAAGAAGCTGACATACTATCAAAATGTTAAACACCCTTTATTACCCTCTCTTTTCAATCTACCAGTCCATTTGTAGGTAAATAATGAATAACACAGGCGAAACTCTTACTTTATGAGAACGTAGTTAACCGCAAACGACGGTTCGCCCAGCACTTTGCGATTGAGCAAAGGACAACTCCAAAAAAAAAGTGATGATAATGCTAATGATAATGATAATGATAATAGTAATAGCAATGATCATAATAAAGCAAACTACCTAAGGCGAACAAAAACGCAAGTAACCAAGCAGCAATTGTTTTCCGTTTTCCCTATGATTGGTCGAAAGGATGACCATAATTTTCATGATCAATCACAGATGTTGTACACAGATTTTGGACAGTCAAATGAAAGTTACTCTGTTTGCAATGCAAATTCATACACTGATTTCTACTAAGTGACTATAAATGATGTTCAAATTTATTTTTCATCATCAAAATACTTTCAGAACTTGGATAAAAAAAAAATATGATTACAATCACAGACTAATTCGGTGAGTAAAAATAACTACAGGAAAGGCTATTACACTAGGCTATCGTTATAAAAATATGATAGCACAACACGCGGTTCAAAAAAAGTCGCCAAAATAGCGTTAAAACGACCATAAGCGAGAAGGCGGCTACGGAGTAAAGGTAACAAGTCTATAAGCTGAATGTGGTATAAGTCATGCCGAAAATCACAATTAATTCTGTTTTTTCGTATTTTTTCTTACTGCATATGATTACTAAAATATTATACCTATTAAATATTGTGTTGCACATTTTTCACCAAATTTACTATGCTGAGGATTTTTTTCTGCCGATCGTGTAATTATTTAACTAAACTCTTTAAAATTACTACAAAGTAACACTGGCCTCTTTAAAATTAAAATTTTCCTACAGCTTATCATATTCCTCTAAAAGCTTGGAAACGTCCTCTCTTTTTGTAGTTTCTCTCACCACACTTGCAAACTCAGCAATTGTTAGCTGTGGGTGTTTAGCTGCCAAGTACTCCAATAGGGCTCCTGTAGGTCCGGCTTCGTGATCTTTAAAATCTGTGGTCACTGTATCTCTATCAATATCATAATGTGAACAAACATTGCGATAGTCTCCAAGGCCTGGCTTTTCTGCGTTAAGAGAGTTACATACTTTCTTTAGTATAGGCCTATTATCCAGCAGGCTTCCCAGGACTTTCGAGACTACAACATAGAGAAAAAAATGTTTAAAATCCATGTTTAACTTGTTTACTCTGTTCGCAGTGATGAAAGTAACAGATTGTGACTATTCTAAGTGACTATTCTATCTGTTGATGACGCTCGAAGCCCATAAGCTAGATTTTACCATTAGCTAGATTTTGCTTTTTCATCGTAAATACAAATAAATGAATTCTTGCCGTGGGTCTGTATAGTAATGGATCACAAAGGACGAAAAAATGTGATACGAACATTAGTGAGACACTCGGAGCTTATTCGAAGTGTTCATTTGTAGAATTAAGGTACAGTTTCGCGTCATTGTGACTGAAGTAATGACGATGACGATACAGAAGATACCTTTAGGAGGTTTTGATTGTTCTTCTAAGTTGTTCGTGTCACTTTCGTCTGGCGCTGAGGACGTCGAGCATCCAGCTACACTGTTTAAGTGCGTGCGAGGGGTTGATGTCACCTGCAGGTCGCTACTCTCCTCAGTGATCTGACCTGGAGTAGGTCTCTAAAACCGAGAGAGCTAGTAAAAGTTACAAAATGGTTCATACACCTGAGAATGACATTCATGAATACTGAGCTAAACAACATCATTATTCAGAAGGGACATAGGTGGAACATAGAAAAGCCTTCTAAGTGACTATTCTATCTGTTGATGACGCTCGAAACTGGGGAAGGGAAAGTTATGAACGGGTACACATTTAAGTTTGTCTTGACTAAACGCATAGGTTAATAACTGGAGGCCATAGGGGCGAATGAAGGTAGAAGGTACCTAATAAGTAAAACATTTCTTTCGCAAGTAAATCGACTTAGAACCGGTTAAGATAAGGTCGTTAAGGGGTAGAAGGTAAGTATTGATTGTAACTCTACGGGAGATGAAAACTACCTCAGACTTAACAGACTTTGTGTGTTGTTCTTCCCTTTTTTTTTAATTTGAAAAACTGAAACCTATCTTGTCATCTAGAAAAATAAATAGATAATTTTTTTAAGTACAAACAGCATTACCTCCACAAGCTCAAAGCCAGGGCTCACACAGAATGTGTGCTCTGCTTCACGGCCTTCTTGCTTAAACTTTATATTACAAGAGAAAGCCTCGGTCCCCACTCCACCTGCAATTGGTTTTACTTGGAAATCACATGAATCTTTACTGCGAAAGCTATGGCAGAGTAACTCCTACAACAGATTACAGATTGATTAGCAAAATGCATCAGTCAGGAGTAAAGCGTTTTAATAAAATTCCCCAAAAAATAACCGGTCACTCAAAGTGCACTGCTAAGACACCGACTTTCAAAGGAAATCTGAAGGCACCATGATCTACAACTCAGAGGTTTCTCATAATCATGCAAGAGTTCGTTTTGCAATTTCGATATTTCGATCGTTATTCCTTCGCGAAAGCTCCATCGATATGCTCTGGTTGATGATCAACCGTGCATACTTTGATAGACCCATACTATCCGTTGATTAAGTTAACTATCCCTGTTGAGCAGGTCCAAATGATAAACGTCATATACTCATCAACAAACTTTGCCAAGTAGTAAAGCCACCTTTTTGTGTTCTTTTTTTTGTTCGTATTTTTTATTTCGTTTTCTCTTGTTTCCTTTTTTCTATTTCTTTCTTTCTTACTTGTTTTGTTTTTGTTTGTTTTTTTGTTCTTACGGTCTATCAGGGCGTTTGACTCCTTCCCCGGATTCCATCTCTGGTCGGCACCCTTTGTTCCATTCTTGGGAAATTTACTGTCACAACTTCGTTTTTAGGAGTCACTTCGTTGCACATTTATCACATATAACTGTAATATAATCATAATGTAATAATAATAATAATAATGATGATAATAATGTAATGATAATAATAATAATGTGATAATAATAATAATAATAATGATAATAATAACAGCATAAATTGACCACTTCCCCATTGGGGCTTTTCAAGACCGATACAAACTAATTGTAAGTAAACATAATTTTCAAAAACTCCAACTGGCAAGAGGGAGACAATCTGACTTTATACAAAAAACGCTACTATAGAGTTAACTTCAAGGAAACCAAAAAAAAATCCAGCGAGAATCAGGGTGAATGCTTGAACCTAGGACCAACAGGTTACCTTTCCAGCTCCCTAACCAATCGGCTACACTGCCTTCCCTTCCATTGACAGGCTAAAATTAAACGTTTAACAGATTTGATCAAAGGGCTCGCATTTTTCAGAAACAATGCAAAGGGAGCCTCAGTTCAGGTTACTCAGAGGTCACAACTCCTAATTATACTGGCATTGCCATAACAATTTGCTCACCTTTTCGCCATCTGTCGTCGTGTCTAATTCCCAGCCTTCCTTAAGATCGTCAACTCTCACGATTATCTTTTTGCTGTTGTTGTACATTTTGAAAGGTTTCTCAATTGAAGGCCTAGACGTTTCAGTATATCGCTTTTCTTGTTTTTCCACCCTCTTGTGAAGGCAAGATATAAAGATCAGTGAAGTGTCATATCGAGCATTAGCAAGAACTGAGTCCCAGTGTCTTATTTGGTATGATGGGGAAGCGCACAAGAATAGAAATAACACCAACTTGAATTAGAAAGATTGAAACGCTAGGAGAAGATATCAAGATTCAAGAAGTGTTGCTATTTTTAAGGATAATTCGCTCACTTCCTGCCTCTAATTTCTTTCATTTTGATTTTATCATTACCATCCGGCCTTTCCATTCCCGTTTGACGTTTTTTTGTCTTTTCCTGTTGTTATTTTGTTTTTTAAAGAGCCATAATTGCCTCTGAATAGAGGAGCTGTTGTTCTTATTTGTCAACGGTGTTTTAGTTGTGTCGCCTATGTAATATTTAGAAATTTCATAAGAATTCATTGCATGCAACGATTACTCACCTTCCTAGAATTCTCGTTGTCACCGTAAACATAAAATCTCAAATAAATGAGATCGCAATTTGGATCCGGCTTGTTGGCAAAAACTCTAGCTCTCTTTCTCCTCGTTCCTCCACGGCAAAATATGCACCAGTAACAGAATTTCATGGTCATAATATGGATTGAGTCCTCTTTAGCTGTGAACCACGCCTTTGACAGATCATCTTTCTCTACTTCGTTAGGGATGTTCTCCCACTTGATGCAACCTATAATCCGGAATTGATGACTGAATCATCAGTACAGTAACAGCACAACGAACATCAGTCCCACAAACCCAAAAGGGAAGAGGATAAAAAATGTGTTGGTAAAATGAATGAGTCGGATTACTCGGCAGCAGACATACTCGAGGTTCCTGTCGGGAAGTTAAGTCCAATGAAACTGGGGTCTTGGTTTTTTCAAACGAGGAGGAACCAGATTTAACCAGAAAACGTCTGGGAGGGGGGGGGGAAGAGAAGTGAAAAAAAAAGAGTCAACTCCATGCCCCGAAGAAACTATTATTATTACTAGAGGATGCGTTTATTATTATTATTATTATTATTATTATTGTTATTATTTTTAATTACAAAATATTACAAAGAAATATGCACTTCCCGCAGTTAGCAAAGGCTAGTCGAGGCGGGCAGTGTTTAATACGTATATTATAAGATAATAAAAGATTTATCAGAGCAAGAGATTCAAAATTCTAGACAAATTACAACTTCATTAATACATGTAGGGTATGGCAAGAGAACCAAGAGAAACAAACTCCAAACTTATAATGCTTACAAAAGTTGAAAATTTCCTGAAGCTCTAAAATCTTAAATGTATTTTCTTAAATGTATTTTCATTTGAATGCAGCTGAAAATCCTTGCCCAGAGGAATTTTTCTTTACCTGGGTCAGTTCTGTAAACACTAATCCATTCCTTCTCAACTTCACCCATTTCGAGGCAATGTGGAACAATGATCTTTAAAGGCTTTGAAAGGCTAATATCATCTGGTCCACATTCAATCACAGGGGAAATGAGTGTCTCGTCAGGCCCTACAGGGATATTCTGCAACAACTTCGTTTCATCGTCGACTTCACGGAGGAAGACCAACTGGTTGTCTCCAACTGCACCGTTTCCGATAACTATCTTCACTTCAGAGTCAGGAGCGGCACTCAGTTCTCCGCCGGAACTGCTGAAATGTCCTTCCACTTGATTAATGTATTTTAATACAGGCACTGTTGGAGAGCTGTTGGGTGAACAATCACCTTCTTTGTGGTCTTTGAGACCTACTTGATCTTCACAAAGAACTGTAGTATTCGTAACCTTTATCATGGATAACAAATCATACGTAAACGGTAGTTTAGTGTGTGACCTTAAATATATTTCCAAAATATTATAAGAGGCGGATAAAACTGCCGTAGTGTTTTTTTTTTAAAGACCAATTGGTGGACTCCAACCAGCAGTACACCGTTTCCTACAACTATCTTCACCTCAGAGTCTGCAGAGTCAGAAGCAGGGTAAGAGTCAGGAGCGGCGCTCAGCACACCGCTGGAACTGTCGAAATATCCCTCCACTTGTGGATCTGCCTCCTTCACCTTTAGAGGAAAAATCATCTCTAACCAATTGTTCCAAGTCAAACGATAAATATAGTGTCCAATACACCGCTCAAAACAGCCTAGTCATTTTTAAAATCCCATCATAGGTTAGTTCAATCTTATCATACCTCTGAATGTACATAAGGAATGCCCGATTATATTTGAACAAATTGTGATACTTCTTTCACATTAAAGGTAGCCAAAGCAATACGTGAACCCCATTTCAACCTGAAGTAATAGTTTAAAGTTTCAGAAATCCAATTTTTTTTGGCTATCCTCCTATACCTCAGACATAGGTGATGACATTTGAAACGCTGACTGCTATTAAGTATAGAATCTGAGTAAATGAGATCAATTTGGAGCTACAAGCAGGAAGATGGGGACGATATTTGTGAGCAGCTGTGGTATTTCTACTGCAATCATCTCTCACTTTAGGCAAAAGAAGAAAAATTGTCCGCTAATAAATGTAAGGGTCTAGCGATTTAAGGGGCGATGATTCAAAGGCAGGCCCTAAAAGAAATGCCCACTTCACCAAAAGGTGCTCTCAGTGAGGCCCTGCATATGCTGCAAAAGAATTACAATAAAAATTAAAAAAGCTAAGCTAGAACTAGATAAGAATGGAAACCTAGTTCACTCGAGAATGCATGTTTAACTAAAATGCATGTTTAAGCTTAGATTTAAAGTAAGAAAGTACAGCGGTGTCACGTATATCTTGACTTAAAGAGTTCCAGTCGACGACGCTCTGATACGTAAAACGTTGTTGGCCCCTGTTTGTTCTTACGCGAGGTTAACAAAAATCGTCTTTGGAACGCGTGTTGTAATTATGAATTAAGTTATTTCTAACAAAATTAAAATCAAAGTCAGTAAGACCATTCAAACACTTAAAGATCGTTGTACAGCGATGGAAACGTCGCCTGAGATTCAATGGCTTCCAACCAAGATAATCAAGAGCTTCGGACGCCGAGTCATGTGGATGGCGATCAAGAATTATCTTAGCAGCTTTATTTTGAAGAGTCTGAAGATTTTCCATGAGATTGGAATTGTTCTTATCACCCCAAATAATGTCACCATAATCAAACAAGGGAAGAATGAGACTATTGTAGAGAGTTAGGCGGGATTGGAGTGGTAGCATCTGCTTTACTTTAAGTGTGCGGAGGAGAATGAGTGAAAGATGCCAATACGAATTAAACACATTAAAATTGTCAGACTTGGAGCTCACCTGTATTTTACAAGGTTCATGAAGACTCTCCACCTGATTATGTTTGAAGAGACAGTTAAAACTGTTTTCTCTTTTTCTATTTCTAATATCTACACCACTATTTGCGACTAGTCTGCTAATGTGCATGTAAATGGGTGAGGAGGGTGGTATAAATTTAAGAAGATGTCGACTAACACATACGTCTATATCGGTTGGGGCGAATGTAATGTACATGTAGGAGGTTTATCATTAACAGGGAATTTTTTTGCCGGTAGTATGGCCTCTAACCAGTTTACGGGGGTTAACAGAAAAGGAGTGACGCTTGTAGCTTGGGTTCAACGGAAACATAGAGGAAAAAAGGAGATAAAAAAAGTGGTAAATTTCATTTGATCTTTTGTCTTCTTTTTTCTTTTAGTTTGATTTCTGAAACCTATTTTACTGCAAAGTTACCTTCACAGGCGTAAAGCCAGGGTTCACATAGATTATATGTTTTGCATCACTATCCTCTTGTTGGAACTTTATATTGCAACAGAATCCATTCACAAGTGGACCTTTCACTGGTTTTACTGCAAACGCACATGTATCTGGAATTTGAGAGCGAAGTCTACCGCCATAGGCTCGAGCGCAAACGACCTACAAAGGGTTACAAATTGAGTCATACAATGCATCAGTAGGGTGCAGAAAAGGATAAATATTGGGAAAAGGAATTCCACAAAGAATATGTGGTTTTCAACAAACATTATTAAGACACCTTACTTACGGCAGAGACAATTAGAATGCCACATGACCCATAATTATATTCTTTTTAAGCAAAGTAGCTAGTTCCTAAGAAAAATGTCCCATTTCGATCGTTGGCCGTTCGATAATGCTCAAAATACTAACCTCTCTAAAATTTCCATCCAGTTTATCTTCGGTTTTACTTATTTTTATGACTATCAACCATGTATACTTTGACGGAACATCTCTAAATGATGTTATATACCCTTGTGGAGCAAGCCTAGTTTTATCTTGGTAGTTTGAGAGAGGTAAAAAAGGTCGTTTAGTGTAGACATCTGTAATTCTTTGTAAAAATGGAGTGTTACTCGCGCAGAAGTGTCACCTTGAGATCGAGGTTGTCGAGAGGAAAGTTTAAAAGTTCTCAGTCGTAAAGATTGTTTTAACCTTTTTTCAAAATATGTTGTACATATATAATGTATATGTATATATATATATTGATAGATAAATAGATTTGATCAGAGAGGCTCACATTTTTGAAAAAAATTGATTTGAAAAATTTGAAAAAAATTCATCCTGGGATGAACTTGTAGTTTACTTGTCTTTTTCCTCCCACAATATATATTGATAGATAAATAGATTTGATCAGAGAGGCTCACATTTTTGAAAAAAATTGATTTGAAAAATTTGAAAAAAATTCATCCTGGGATGAACTTGTAGTTTACTTGTCTTTTTCCTCCCACAATATATATTGATAGATAAATAGATTTGATCAGACAGGCTCACATTTTTGAAAAAAATTGTAAAGAGAGCCTCAATTCAGGTTGTAAGAGGTCACAATGTATAGTTATACTAGCATTACAATAACAGTTTGCTCACCTTCTCGCCATCCGTCGTCTTGTCTAATTCCCAGCCTTCCTTAAGATCCTCGAGTCTCACGATTATCTTTTTGCTGTGGTCGTACACCTTGAAGGGTTTCTCTTTTGAAGGCCTGGACGAATCAGAATACAGCTTTTCTCGATTTTCCACCCTCTGGTAAAGGAAAGAAATGTGGATCAGCGAAGTAGTGAATCGAGCATTAACAAGACTGACCACAAGTAAGATTGCTTTCTCTGAAATCTGAATTTCGAACAGACGCTCGTATTCATCTTTTGTTACACAAACGAAACAGTAACCCCGTTGATACAAGTAAACATCCCTTTACCAACACTTTTCTCACAAATGCTTGAGGTTCTTACTACACGGGGGGGGGGGGGGGGGGTATAGCTACTTACCAGCACAAATTTCAGGGTAAACTATTGCTGTATCCAATTGAAAGGAGTAGAAGCATTTGGCTTATCTCATGTGCTTGAGACTAGATGATTTATGCTATTTAGCCATAACGTTATATACTGGATATTATATATATAATATATATACAGGATATAGTGGATAGCACAGTACGTATTACTAACACTACTAAGTCCGCTTGATAGCGATTTATCCATCTCATACTTTCATCAACCCAAACCCTGGAACGCAGAAGCTAAGTCCCAATCTCTTTCTTGGTATAATGGGGAGGCGCATAAGTATAGAAAAAACATCAACTTGGATGGCTTGAGAGATTGAAACACTAGGAAAAGATTCAATTAGTACTGCAGCTTTTCGTGATAATTTACGCATTTCCTTCCTTTCTCCAATTTCTTTCATTTTGAGATATATCAGTATTAAATCCCCTTTCCTAATTCTATTTACTTTTTACTTCTTTTTTGTTTGTTTATTTGTTTGTTTGCTTGCTTATATTTTTATGGCAAGTATTACCTCTGAAAAGAGGATGCTTTTGTTCCCATTAGTCAATGGTGTTTTACTTGTGTCACCTATATTGTCTCTTAGTAATTGATAAAAATTGTTTTTATCGAAAGATTACTTACCCTCCTGGAATCCTCGTTATCACTGTAAGTATAGAATCTTAAATAGATAAGATCCGATCCGGGATTCGGCTTGTTAGCAAACACTATAGCTCTATTTCTCCTCGTTCCTCCACAGAAAAATATGCTCCAGAAACAGAATGTCATGGTTTGGATATGAATGGAGTCCTCCTGTACTGTAAACCATGCATTTGACAGATTGTTTTTCTCTAATTCGTTAGGGATTTTCTCCCACTTGATGGGACCTTTAATCAGGAGTCAAGGACAAAATCATCAGTAGAGTGACAAGATAAGGAACATCAGTTGAACTTACCGGAATGGGAAGGAGGTAAAATCAGTGTGTCGGAATAGTTGGCGGTGGACGTCCACGATATTCCACTAAGGGTTAGAGTTGGGTTAGTAAGAGTTAAAATTGAGATCTTACTTAGTATTTGCGAAAGCAGGAAAACCAGATACACAGAGAAAACTCCTAGGAGCGTGAAGGAGAAGCAACAAAAAAAATCAATCACTTGTTGATGCATTGTTTTTAAATATATTCAGGTTTAAGAGCTTGTAAGATTTAGGTAGCTTTTGAATTCAGCTGTAAATTCTCAGCCCATAGCTATTTCGACTACCTGGGTCAGTTCTGTAGACACTTATCCATTTTTCCTCTGCTTTACCCATATAGAGGCAATGTGGAATTATAATCTCTAGTGGCTTTGAGATGCTGATATCATGCGGTCCGCATTCAATCACAGGGGAAATGAGTGTCTCTTCAGGTCCTACGGGGATATCTCGGAGCAACTCCTTTTCATCATCGACCACACGGAAGAAGACTAACTGGCTGTCTCCAATTGCACCGTTTCCGATAACTATCTTCACGTTAGAGTCAGGAGCGGCACTCAGTTCACCGCCGGAACTGCTGAAATATCACTCCACTTGGGTGATATATTTTAATTCAGGTACTGTTGGAGAGCTTTTGGCAAAACAGTCGCCTTTTTTGAGACCTACTTGATCTTTCCGATGATTTGCCTTATTCGTCACCTTTTTCTAACAAATCATATATAAACGGCAGTTTTGAGTATTACATTAAATATATATGTATTTCCAGAATATCATACTAGGCCGAACAAACTACCATTAGTTATTTTTTCAAAGAAAACCTTGGGTGGTTTAACTCTAACACACTTTCGATGGTTCGAAACAAAAGCTTGACAATTTTCTAATAAGCTATGATCACTTTTTGACTTTTAAAGCTACCAAACCAACATCCCAGCCTCTTAAAACATCCTTAATTTTAGTTTAAGAAAGAGTTGTAAGACAAACCATTTGTTTTTCATTTCTCAATTTTCACGTTCAATTCAGAAATAGATGATAATGCTTGCTTCAGTACGGTGAATGCCATTCAGTGTCATAACATGGGGGTCGACAAGATCGTTTAGGAGTTACTGGCAGAATACAGCTAAACGCCTTTTTTGGATACGTCCATAATTCTACAGGGTTGCCACTTGCGAGGAGACAACCAACTCTAAAATTATCATTTATCATCAGTCATAAGAAGGGATAAATCTAAATTTCACGCTAGGACTCACTTTTTTCATCCTGACAAAATTTTTCGATAGTGGCGTGTGACAGCTGTAAAGAAATTTCATATAGAAGGGTTAGATAAAAGGTTTTGGTTACAGAGGAAGGCCCATCGGATTTAAGCACTCCTGATTGCATATTCAATAATAACTGGGCATCGCTATTTCAATGTAGCAAACTGGCTTGTTAAACCAATACTCATAGTCTTAAAATAAGTGAGGAGAATTTGCTACCTTTCTATAATCAAGAAATAGATATATATTCTAGTGTTCTCGGATAAGGACGAAAAAACTGTAGGCCCCGTCTCCTGCAGTGTTAGGGGTAGGAGACGTTAATTTTACACGCACGAGATTACTGTGTGGTGGATGTCCTCCCCTGGGTGGAATGGGTGGGTGTTGGCCCTGAAAAGCCCCTATGGGGAGTTTTCAATTAACCTATGTATGTATGTCTGTATAATCAAAGTTAGATGAAGAAAAATAAGGAAACGATATTTATAATTGGATGAAACTTACATGGCGTAGATACAGCGAGTAATGATACAAACTGTAATTTTCGAGAGTATGAAAGAAGCCGCAGAATACCCAAGCTTGTCTTTTTTGCTAGAAAATGTTACGATGGACTACGTTTTGGCCTTGATGTTGCCATAGCATGCCTGTCCCTTTATAAAGACGTAATCGTTTTGGCAAAAGAGCATATAGAAGGACCAGCATGCAACCAGTGTCATAAACCTACTTAACATTTTATCTATAACTTGCATATTCATCAAAGGCATTTAGTACATTGCGACATTGATTTGAACTAAGTTCTACTTATTGAAGACTAACATAGTAATTTAGAACCGGATGGTTCGAACGAAAACTGCAAAACTTGTCAAGCTCCTTAACCAGATGTAATATTATCTTAATGTGTTAATTAGATTAGGGTTAGGCAAATAATAGACTTAGATCTTAGATGGATGTCCCCGTAGGCACTAGCTTTAAATATCATCGTACCGAGAAAGGTGAAAAGATACCAATTATAACCAACGATAGCGCCAGGAATGTGCGACGAACTTGCTCACCACAACGAGCAACAGTAAATCACAGCTCTTTATGTCCGTTATGTCTCCGAAATTTCCGTTATCTTGGTTACTGTAACAAAATCTTAGGCAAAAAGGCGAACGCAGACGCTAATTCGGTCAATAAAGTGTAAAAACTCGGCACTGAAGCTGAAAGCATCCACAAAGCTGAGATTAAATTTTCTGTAATTAGAGGTTACGAGTGGGAATTATCATTCTTTTAAGAGAGGTTATTTCTCATTAAGAAAAAACATGCCCTCTGGCTGTTTTGACTAATGCTCTTCGGGTGTTTTGCCCTTGCATATTCCAAAATAAGATAACCTCATCATCTAATAACTAGTCAGTTTTTAGAAGATTGGAGACAAACTTGCTGAATGATTTCAGAAACAGTCCATAAGTTTGTTTGTATCTTATTTGTTGGTTTGTTTTAATCCAAAGTATCGAACTAAATCTACCTAACTTAAAAGGTATCTTTTCCGCAGTCTGCTTCGCCCTGCTGCGCAAAAGCAAAACAAAGAGAATTTGAACCCTAAAGTGAAGCTCGTCTAAAAGTGGAAAAAAAAGTTCTTTGTTATCTAAGATAAGAAATAACATGCCCCGGTAATATATTTACCTAGTTTCGTTTTCATACTACTTGTCATGCAAGAGGGTCTTAAGAGCGTTAAACATAATACGTTAAAAGGCAAAAAAAAAAACAACTGTTACGCGCAAAAAGTGACAAATTTGAATCATTAGTTGTAAAATATGTTAACCGTAAAGTTCTTCTTTTAACAGTAACGGAAGTTAGTTAACTTTTAGCCGTAAAACAGCCGATATTTTAACTGCAGCCAGTATGTTATGCCTTCATACTGTTAGTCATGCATGGATGATCAAAGCAGAGGTTTAAAAAGTCAAATTAAGCTTCAACCATTGGAGAGGGTGACAGAGGGCTTATGTGTGCTGGGCAATTAAACCTAAAGTTAATGCGTGATGCGTGAATTTTACAGAAACGCGATAAAATTTGAAATTTTTTCTTTTAAATTCGTGACATGTGGAATACTGTTTAAAGCGGACAGGCGACGCGTAAATTTGTCTGATATTTGTGTGTGAAACGGGATTAGGAACCCCCCCTCCCCTCCCTTCTTTGATTTGACAAAGCAAACTTTCAAACTTGGCTCACCATAGTAATAGCAGTGGCTTTTTCTGTAGCTTACTGGAGGCAATTGACCTTAATCTCGTTTGTGGCTAAAATGTTAAATAAAACTGAAGCCTACAGTCATGTATACAGGGTCACGGTGGATGGTAAAGGAAGGAAAATCATCCCCTTGGCAGTCTGTCAAACATATGTTTTTAGCTGTTTCGCCGTGCACGTTCAACACTGGAAGTTATCA